CTACCTAAGGACTTATACATGTGCCAACGTCGTATTATCAAATATAGACAAATTCTTAGTTGAAGCAATTAAATTTATGGACATGAATCATCTAATCAAAGAGTTTACTAATTATCAAACTTAAATTGATTTTGTAAGTTTAGAAGAACAAAACTTTGGATTGATTTTTCAGTTGAATCAACTTTTTATACGACACTATATCAAGTCCGTACGTAACTCATTCATTCATTGAAGCCACTTATACACCTTTTTGACTTGAACAATTATAACTATTAGACTTTCTGTACCATTTTTCATATTGTGGCCAATTTTTTTTTTTTTTATGAGCTTCAAAGTTATGTTTTTTTTTTGTCGAAGCTTCAAAGTTATGTTTACTAAGCTCTTTGTGCAATGGTTATGTACCCTTTACCAGGTTCGGATACCGGATGGCTGAAACATAAGGTAGATTGATTATCTACTTACCCATCTTTTGTATGAATCACGTGTGAAGTAACTAGGTTAATTTGATGCTAACGATCCTACAACACACCATAAGAATTAAGAACATGCATGTTTGGTTAGGTTTGGACATTGATGTTTTCCATACCACCTCGAGAAATGCATGTGATACTTCCCATCCCATCACAATTATTCTGCGAGATGATGGGATGCACATTTTGCGTTTGAATGAATCTCGAGGCTCACTCTAATAGGCCAGTATATAATATCGTCCTTTAAGAGACTCATGTGAACCGTGACCACACAAAAACAAAAAAAAAGACTCATGTGAACCTTAAATCAATAATAAATCTTATTGTGATTAGTAATACTTAACTGAAAAAATTCCCTAAGTTATTATTCGTTACAAATACAACCTTTCATTATTATCTTTAGTCCAATTCCAAACGAGATGAGCCATTATCACTTTTGGGATTGGTAGATAACCTCATGCATATTCTTTTTTATTTAATGAAAGCCAACCAAACTTCAATAATGTTATGAGTCTGGTCCCATCATTTATTTAGGTTCTTTTTTCTTAGTCAACTGATTTTTAAAAAGTAATATTATAGTCATATAGTTACTGTGATTACCTTTACAATATAGTTCGTGTAAAACATGAAAAAAGAATTTTCTTTTGTTACTAAAGTTTGAGATACGTTACTGATCATATAATCATAACTTGCGTACTATGAAAACATACGTTCCCAACGTTTTGACATGATCTATTAAACTATGAGAACTTTTTCATGCATATAAGCATTGAAATATTTTTGAAATAGTTACGAAATAAATTTGCAAATGAAACGCAAACTTTAACCAAATTCATTTTCGTTGGGTTATATATTGAGGAAAGTCACTGTTCCATAAAACAAACAAAAAACTGGAAGAGTGATAATAATGTTGCATGAGGGGAATTAATTGTATTGTTTGGTGCAATGTCATTTTCACTTTCAAATTATGGCGGTGCATTAATATAAACGAAACCTTATTGATTGAAACTTGTAAGTCCCACCCACACTTACATACCAATTATTATTCGAAGTTTACTTTGATTCTATTTATGATTATGATACGATTTATCTTACACAGAACAAGCTCTTACACAATGCCTTTTCATAAGTTAAAAAAGCTGAAAGTTTCATTTTATAGAGCAAAGATAATCTAGCAGAAACCCAATTTACGCGAAATGAGTATAACTGTCAAATAATTCTTTAGATTTTCAACAGATCTAAAGCATTATATCGTTTATACTTAACAAATAGGAAAAGAAAAAAAACCGAAGATAACTTCATGATAAATACCAATCTAGTCCACATCAAATATAAAATTCTCTCGAATATACTAAAATCAGAGATAGAATTGTCTTGTTTACCGTTAATCCGCATATTGATGCTTCAATACATGAAGTTATAAGGAGTCCATATATAAGTGTATGTCATAAAAAATATAGATGTTATTTTGTGTTTGCATTGTTACGGATCAGGAGGTTCGAATCGGAATTTTTTTTATAAAGTTTGGGATATTTTTACGGTTTAATTATATTCAATTAGAGGTGTTTAATTCAAATTAATATAGTAATCAAAATGGAACTGAATCTAGCTAGTGTATATTGGGTTTATGTTTCTGTTTGCATATTTTTTAAAACTGAGAAACGTTTTGAACTCGAATGATCTATAAGAAAGC